GTCCATCTCAACTACTCAGTGCTAATGGAGACATATTGAATAATGATAAGGACATGATCATGGAGAGATAGGCTGAACATTTCCATAATGTTCTCAACAGACTGTCATCAACAAATACTAAAGCCATTGACTGATGCTGAAGTCAATCCCTCCCTAGCAACTAAAAAAGAGGTTTTGGATACCATGAGGCCCGTTTCATGTGGCAAATCACATAGTGCTTATGCCATACCAGCAGAAATTGAAAAGGCAGGGGGTCCATTGTTCATTCAAAAAATGACTGAAGTCTTCCAGGTTATATGGCAAAAGGAAGTTATCCCACAGGAGTTCAAGGATGCCTCCATTGTCCATCTATATAAAGGAAAAGGAAATAAGTTGTTCTGTGACAATCATGGGAATGTCTTTCTCTTAGTCACTGCCAACAAGAGTCTTGCCAGAGTCCTCCTTAATAGATTGATCCTTCCCCTGGAAGATGGTCCTCTACCTGAAATCCAGTGTGGCTTCAGAAAGGGCTGAGGAATGGTCAACATGGTGTTTGCTGCACAACAACTCCAGGAGAAATGCAAGGAGCAAAACAGAGGTCTATACATGATGTTCGTTGATCTGACCAAGGTCCTTGATACTGTCAGGAGGGCTTGTGGAAAATCATGGCAAAATTTGGTTGCCCAGAGAAGTTCAACAGTATAAGATGCCAGTTCCATGATGGCACGCTTGCACAGGTTCTGGATAACGGATAGAGTGAAGGAGGGTTGTGTGCTTACTCCCATGCTTTTTAGCATGATGTTTTCAGCAATGTTTTCAGATGCCTTCAATGAGGATGACAACAGCATCAATTACTGTACAGATGGCTATAAGCCAAGCCTGAAGTTGAAGGAGAGTTGGTGCATGACTTTATGTTCACAGATGATTGTGCACTAAGAGCAGCTTCTGAGGCTGAAATGCAACAAAGTATGGATTGATTCTCCACCACTTGTGCTAATTTTGGCCTAACAATTAACACCAAGAAAACAGAGGCTCTTTACTAGCCACCACCCCATGAAACCTGAACCATCAGTTACAGCAAATGAAGAAATTTTGAATGCTGTAGGTAACTTCAGCAGTATACTTTCCAGGGATGCCCACACAGATGATGAAGTTGAGGCATGCATTGCCAGAGCTAGCTCAGTGTTTAAGAGGCTCCAAAAGAAAGTGTGGAAAAGAAAAGGTATCAAACTGAGAGTCTACAGAGCCATTGTGCTGTGCCTGTGAAACCTGGACAGTTTACCAGCACCATGTCAGAAAATTTAACTGCTTCCAGTTGAATTATCTTAGGATGATTCTAAAGATCACCTGACAAGATGAGGTACTGGACACCGAAGTCAAGCTGAACTATCTAGCATTCAAACCCTACTGCAGAAAGCACAACTCTGATGGGCTCACCACACTGTTCAAATGCGAAACATATGTTTACCTAAACGATTATTTTATATTGGAGTGGATGTGGTAAAACTGAGACACTAATGCCCTATTGATGAAATTGTATACTGATTCAAACATTCTGTAGAGCAATTTGGAACTATACCCAAAGGGTTATAAAATCATGCATAAACTTGGACCAAGTAATATCACTACTATGTATGTATTCCAAAGAGTTTTTTAAAAAAGGACCTGTATATACAAAATATTTATAACAGCTCTTTTTGTGAAATAAGCAGAACCAGGAGAACATTGTACATAGCAACAGCAATATTGTATGATGATCAAAAACTAAAACTAAAAGACTATTTTACAGAGAACTCACACAAGACAATTGCTCACTTGGAGGTCAAAAAAAGCAATACAAGGACAATCTCAAGGTACCTCTGAAGAACTCTGGAATCAATTGTGAGAAATGGGAGACACTGGCACAGGACCAAACAACATGTCATGCCCATATCAAAGAAGGCACCGTGCTCTATGAGCAAAGCACAACTGTAGTAGTTCAAATGCAAGTGAGATGCACACATTTACAAACATCTCCATTCCAAATGCTCACTCTTTGTGCCTGACCCGTGTAGAGACTTCCAAGTTCATATTGGTCTAATCAGCCACAATTAGATACTCTGTACATGATGCCAACATAGTGATGTCATTTTGGTCCCCAAAGTGGGGATGGGAGGGATAGTGAGAGGAGTATGGACTCTGAACAAAGGAAAAGAAGTGAGGAAGCTGAGAACATTTTCAACAAAGTAACAAGTAGGCCAGTTTGACCTCAGGATAGCCTATACAGAGTAGAATAATAATACTTGATATTTATGTAGCACATTTAGTTTTAGAAACCTCAATATGCTATGTAAATATTAGTTATTATTCTGCTACTCTACAGGTGAAATAAAAGCTTAAACTACAGTGATGGCAATGGGGACTGAAAGGAACAGACAGATCAAAGGATGCAAAAATGGACAGAATCCACAAGCCCTGGTAACTGACTGGATTGGAACTGCAAGATCGAATCATTGATGGCTTCTAGATTTCCAGCCAAATGAGTGAGAAGAATTTTGGGAATCAACAGTAATTGGTCGCTGTTGGGGAACAGTTGCGTCTTTGGACATGGTGAGTTTAAAATACTTACCATGAAAATGTCCAATGGGTAATATAAAAGTCTGGAGACAAGAAATTTCACATTCTCACAGAAATAATAGCTGAACTGTGAGTAACAGAGTGAAAAGTGAACTAGATGGCCAAAGAGGAAAGCAGCTCTTCCTGGATATCTGGCTTACCAGGGTTCCTCCCAGAAAGCACCCTGCAGGGGCCTGGATAACCACCTCTGACTTACTCTAAGGGCAAACACTCTTATAAAATGTACTTAATTCTCTGGGAAATTTACAGCCAGGATCTTCTAAACCTGGCTCCAGAGCGTCCTCATTTGCCACTCTACAAATCCTCTTACTCCTTCCTAATTTCTCCACATGAGGAAAAAGAGAATTGAGGGTCACGGTTTTGGTAGTCTTAAGCACTCTTGTAGTGCCTATATTCCATCAGTCCCTCTCTGGGCAAGAAAAAGAATATAAGAATTGTGAGACAGCACAGGAGTACCACCAACTGTACAAGCTGGGAGGGAAAATTTAATTTTAATGTTGAGGGTCCAATACATTTTTTGTATTTCAGTACACCTCTTTTTGTAATATTTTTAATATGAGGAAATATATACCCTCAAAGTATTTTATATGAAAACAGAATTTAGGAAAACTAAATATTAACAGTAAACTATTTTAAATGAAGTCTTAAAAGATCAAGTAATGAAGATGACTATCGATAAGCTGGTTGAATCACCAACTCTGTTTACATTACAAGTAACTTTTGGAACAAATATTTTTTTTAAATGCTAAAACTCTTTCCTGACCAAAATGGAGAACTTTTTGTAATAAATTATAACAAAAAATAAGGACTTTAAAAAGAATAGCATTAAAAGGAGGAAACTGGAAAGGCCTTTTTATTTAATGGAGAGTGGAGCCCTCATACTTCAAGTTTATTAATGACAATTCATAACTTGCTTTTTAATCAATTAATTTTAAGAGTCAAAAAATATATGCCACATGATTCTTGGCATTTCAAAGTCAACTATAAAGGCACATCTAAAATATCTATTATACATTACTGATGAGCCAAAAGACATGCTAAGATACTACTGTTAATACTTTCAAAAGATATGTCATCACTACATTAAAATGACACAATCAGAAAACTACAATTGCTATAATTGTAGAAACATTCTACAATTTCTATAAAAAAAATTATAGCACTTTAAAAATTTCCCTTGAAGCTAGCCATCTGTATTTATTACATCATTTGCATTGTTCTTTACTTTTTATACCATATCAACCTACAGAATCACTGGTATCTCTTAGAAATCTGAATATAAGAAAACTATATCTATTAATTCAATTAAATCACAATTTAAAATGTAAAAGTAAAGAAACTAGGCAAGATGAAACATTAAAAATACCACAGGGCCATCATCTAAGGAATTTACAGAGCCAAATAAAGGCCAAATAAACCATGTGCTCTTAAATTGTAACCATTCTAGATTTTAAACATGGAGACAGCAAAGTTTTTTGAATTCCCAGACTGCTTAAAGGAACTTCTCTGCTGCTTTAATACTGCATTCATTCTTTAGAGAGTAATGAATCCCTTCAGCAATTTTTTCAAGCGTGAAAGATTTTTTTCTGTTTCACCTGATTCGTCAAGAAATGCAACTGAATTGTAAGACAAATGAAATAATGTTGGGTTGCCAGAGTAACAGAAGCAAATAATTAAGATGGATCATTTAAAATTATAATATTAATTTGTTATACAATTCATAACTCTTTCTTAAAGCAAGAAGATATGAAAAAGTGGAAACTATAGTGTTATTATAAATCTCCTACTCATTTGATAAGATAATTATATTGATTTTTACATTTCCTTGCAATATCTCTATTTGATAACATTTTTATATTCCTATAGCTATTAAAATGGACTAAAACAACTAAAAGTTCACCACCCAAGTATACTTACCTGGATAATAGATGAATACAAATACAGAAAATGGATATGACAATTGGCTAGAAAGCAACAGTATAGAACATGTACAGTGTTAAATCCTGTGTCCTACATAACCTTTTTGAATATGTGACCTTTAAGTTGTTGAAGGTTGCCTCAGAATTTGGCTCAGTTCAATCAAAACATCTGTTCCCCTTGCAGGTATACTGTAAGGACTTTTTTCTCAGTTGGATTCAGAGCACAGCAAGCGAGCCCTTTTCTGTCCAATCATATACACCCCAGCACTTGTAAATCAAGTTCTGGGCTGACAACAGCAGGTCCACATTCCGTCACCCTTTCTCAGCCAGCTAGGCCAACTGACTGCTGTGAGAACTGCTCTTATCATGTCATCAAATCAAAACATGTTGAGAAGAGGGACTGCAAGAGGCATCTGCAGAATTCCCACAATGTAGTGACTTTGGAACATTGACAGATGCATCTGTCATCTTATACCTTCAACTAACCTGATGTCCGCTGGCCAGACCCAGCAAAGCTGTCTAAGAGCAACTCCAACTCTTTCACATTCTTTTCATTCATCTCTGTAAGACAGGCCTGGTGCCTCTTAGCCTGTTTTAGTATTGGAAAGGAAGAAAGAAAGAAAAAAAATTACAAATAATAATTCATTATACTATAAAGGTTATATACAAAATGTGTCTATAGTACACTGTAAATAAATTCCCAAGTAAAGTGTCAAATCTATTTTTAAAATATCATTAACATAGCACACTACAATTTTCCATAAAACTCAGAATTCATCTGATGACCATTATGCCATGAAACAGGTAGATTCCAAAGTTTTTTTAATTGTCAGGATTTAGAGGCTCCATTTGATGCTTTCTAATTTTATTCTTAAGTTTGTCATTTTTGTATTAGATAACTGATTTTATTTATTTTATTAATGTAAAAGTAGATAAAATAAATATTGTTTTCTAATAAAATAACTGCCATTAATCACAAGCAGTTTTAAGCATATGTGATCATCTGGAAAGATAATTCTCACATCTATATTTTAATACATTTTATATCTATCTACCCATTTGACATTGTATTCCATTATGAATCATGTAGAAGCAAGGATTTCATAAACTTCTTTTTCTTGCCTAGAATATCTTCACTACTCTCAGATAAAGCTCACCTCCAACAACACCCCAACAATCTGTCTATCATTATCACCAGTATAAAAGTTGTCTACTCTACTATTCATTTGATGTGCAGCCTCCAAAGCTACTCTCCTTTGTCTCCAAACAAATACATATATTTATTTCCTGCCTCCTTAAAACATGCATAGTTAAACTTGACTTATATTTGATATATACTACTGCTGAAGCCAAGGGCTTCCCAGCAGCAACGACCACTAGCATATAGAAACTCAAATGTACTTCTGAAATTCAAACAACCAGGTTTTCTATTAACAACCATCAGTGGCCAAATAAATAGCTTCTTTTAGGTATCTTTAAAATGATACCTAATAAATTTCCCAATTGTTTTCTATTTCTATCATTTAGAGTTTACATTTAACTGTAGCTCTTACTATAGCTATGTATAAAGTCAGTGGTATCCTGCTAGGGAACAGGCCTTGACTTGTCTGCACAGGTTGCTTTTTATGGCCCCTACTACAGCATCATAGACAAATAGGAATACAATAAATTTGTTGTTGCTGCAGATGATGATAAAAATACACATATAGAAGTCAGAAGGTTAAAGAAAAGACAGAGCTTTGGGAGGCACTGATTGTCCTAGCTCTGCTGTTCATTTGTTATATATCTTTAAGAAAATTACCCAACCTTACTGGCATTCTCATTTTCACACTCATACAACTGGAATAATAACTCACTGCACCCAGGCATTTATGTGGTATGAATTTAATCAGAAGGGATAGAGATTTCATTAATATAGGGAACTCCTCTGTAAGGCAACTCCCTATATCAATGCAGGACACCATCTCTTCATCTTACTCTTAGAGTGTTGATTATTATACTGAAGGGTCAGATGACTTAACTAGTGTCACAGAGCCCCTATATCTGAGATGGAAAATACACTCTAGTCTTTCCAAATTTAAGACAAGCTCTCTAACAACTATGACATGCTGCTTCTTTAATTACAAAAGTCTGTTAAACCAATATGTAACTTATATAGGAAACTTTTTGCAAATATATTTTACAAAATACCAATTATCAATACAGTGCATCATTGTTAAAATATTTTGTATACAGCAACATCATTCTTCATCTTTCAGCTAAAGATTTAAATGTTATATAATGTTTTCTTATATAATAAATATTATACAGTGATGAATTTTTTTCAATTTTACAGCTAGAAAAATTTATGACATAAAGGCCACCCAAGTCACAAAGGAAAAGTTAAGTAGTGAAGTAAAGAGAGCACAAGTCAAGTGAATCTCCTTACCAGAGAAAGAAACTAGAGAGAAGCCTCACAAGGAAAACAAAGTCAAGAATCAAAAGCAACAGCTATCTTCTGTTCACTTTCAAAGTTAGACTGTTGATTTGACAACATGGTACAAAGTTAAGAAAAACATATTCTCCAAACGTGGAAGCACACTTTTAATAAAATCTTTATGTAACTATTGACAATCTTAACACAACAAAAAGACAATCTTTTTGGAATACAACCTAGACTTATGTAAGAAATAGATGACTGACTAGTAAGAAAGTTTATACAGGACAATCGTTTTAAGTATGAAGGCAAAATAAAAGCCAAGGTAAACCTAGAAATATCTTGTTTAGTTATCCCCTTCTCTTTATTTTGTTGTTTTTTCAATGAGAAAGTAATTTTTTCTCAATCTCATCTTATCATGGGAGCTTCAGGAGAACTACATGAAGAGATGGGCCAAATTTTTCACAACTGAGTTTTGTTGTTGCTGTTGTTCAGTCGTTTTTCAGTTATGTCTGACTCTTTGTGACCCTATTTGGGGTATTTCTTAACAAAAATACTGGAGTGAGTTCCCATTTCGGTCTCCAACTCATTTTACAGATGAGGAAACTGAGTCAAACAGGGCTAAGTGACTTGCCCAGGGTCAGAAGCCACATTTGAATTCAGGAAGATGAATCTACCTTACTCCAGGCCCAACATTCTATCCTCTGTACCATCTAGCTACCCCACTGAGTTTTAATATTTTACAACTACATTTTGTGTCAATATGATTTGAGAGTAATATTTTGATTGCATATCTAGTTGCCAGCACCTTATTCAGTGTTTTCAAAGCTAGGCTCCATCTTACAAAGTGCATTTTCTCTTTCATAAGCATTACTTTTACACTACATATAGTTTGTATGTACATAGTGTTTACATGCTATCTTCATTAGAATATGAGCTTTTAGAGATCAGGGACTATTTATACCTTTCTTTGAATCCCTTGGCACATAACAAGTGCTTAATAAATTCTTGTTGATTGGTTGACTGATTTCTACCCTTATACCACAAAGAATTAAGATAATTCACACATATGTGTAAAGTGTCTATAGTTGCTACACGTGCTTTTGAAAAATCATTTTTTAGAGCACTGGCCCTGAAGTCAGGAGGACCTGAGTTCAAACCCGGCATCAGACCAAACACTTGACACTTACTGGCTGTGTGACCCTGGGCAGGTCACTTAACCCCAATTGCCTTAAAAAAAATCATTTTTTAAATGATCAAACTTGGTGACGCTGTTTTAGATAATAAATAATCATCAAACAAAGCTTCTCATATAGTCAAATATAGGGAGCAAATAAGTAGGGTGGTTTCGTGTTCAGATAAGGGTTGAACTAGATGAATAAATGAATGAATGAATAAATAAATATGAATTTAGTGATCACCTACTAGGTGCAAAGTATTGTACTAAGTTCAGGATATAAATACAAAATCAAATAGAGTGCCTGTTCTCAAAGCATTTACATTTTAATGGGGGAGTCAACACACATAGTGACATGGTGGCCATATAGGAGCACTCCAGTTAGGAAAATTACAAGGACGATGAATGGGGCCACTGGGGAGAATGGGGAGAAGACTGACAAATCCCATATAAGAACAATAGCAAAGCTAATGTGATCCTGGTTCCACAACTGGAGATGGGGTTGGGGGTGGAGGGGAGAAGAGGGAAACCAGGAAGATGGGGAGTAGGATGGGGAAAGCCCTTCCAAATCTCCAACTCTGAGATTCTGTGAAACACCAGCTTATGCACCACATCTGCAATAGGTATGTGTGTATGTGTGTGTGTTTTTGACTCGCCACACACTATATATATAATCAAATTTATTCACTCCACTATTACTTTGTACTGGGAAGACTAAATGAAGAATAGGGTAAGTAGTGTTAGGAAATATCTATATATATATATATATATTGTTTCCTAGGTTAAACTCAATCTCCTGAATCCTTTCTTCAGCCTAGTAAGATTCCAATAAAATGTCTTAAAACTAGGCAGCTCTTCAAATGTCGAGTCAAAATTCATCGATAGAATATCGATTTTGCTTTTGCATTACTGACACATAATGTAGTATTTAATACATTTTTGTTGATTTGAATTAAGATGTTTTGTCCATAATATTTTAATATTTCAAGGACCTGTGATTTCATCACTATAGATAACACCTTGTTCAACTCTGTGGATCATTTCAGAGTTTCTAAAGTCAAAAAAAGACACCATCTGTTAGCCAACCCTCTGATCAGGCACCTCTACAAACAGCCAGGCTGATCTTCAGACTACAGGTAAGCAGTTCATCACCAGGTCCACGCTTCAAGACTTAGGCTCCACTGAAATATCTTTTAAAGAGCCAGATAAAGCAACTCCATGACATAAGGAGTCACTGGAGGAGGACTTCAGGAGATATTTTAGCCACAAAGAGTGGTTAAAATAACAACAATGTTAACAGCTAAAGAGGCATTTAAACCAAGGGTCTCAGTGGAGGCATTGGGCATTTCAATACCACAGATGACCACTAAATAAATTCTGAAAAAAAATCTGCCAGAATGCTAACAAAGAAAAAAAAAAGTTCACAGGCAAGGGAGCCCTAGTAATTCAGAGGCAGAGCGAGGTAATGCAAAGGCATGAGTTCCAGCTTTGTCTAAGAGCTCAATTCGATTCCTAGATCCAAACTAACATTTCCCATTCAGAGTATATGTCTAACTGAACTTTAAGGAAGAACAGAAACATAATAATCTAACAATCCACGTGCCACTATTGTCTTCACTAAGCTCACTTATGGACATTAAGTGTCTGTGTGTGTGTGCTTGTGCATGTGTATGTATGAGTACACACACATACTATACAAGCATCACTGACCTCATTCTCACATCATTTGATAAGGTATTTATAAATACTAAGATATGTTAGACCTACCTAGTGTATCCAGAATAATAGAAGTCTGGTAGGCATTACATGGTCTTGGACAACCACCCATTTAGCATACAATAGCCAAAAGGCTATTTGGATACACCAAAAGGTGTCCATAGTCTATAATTCCAAGCTTCAGACTGGTGCTAGGCCCCTTAGGGTGAAGAGGATCCTAGAATGTTAAGTTCACCCAAGGAGTTAACAGCTGAGCAATGATTCAAACCCAAGTCTCCTG